ATTGATTTAGAATCTTTTAAAAATTAAAATTATTTACATTTAAATGCGAAATATCGAGGAAATTTTGATTCTAGTGCAAGCGTAATCATTTATGGAACGTTTAAAAATACTTGTCATAAAAAATGTTTTAATTATTCATAGAATAATGTTTTACACGCTTAAATGTATAAAATACAGATAAATAAATTTATGTGAAAAAATAAGGAAATTTTAACTTCAAAAACTTCAAATAAGTTTTGATAAGAAAATATCGCAATAACGTTATAACCATAGCGTAGGATATGCATAAACTGAAGTTTACCATTGAAATTTTGACTCAATTTAATTATTATAACATCACTTAAAATATACAAATTATTTAAAGCATATTAATTAATTAAAATATTTATAATAATTTATACTTTTTCTATATATATTATGGACTAAATATAAATTAACATTAATGGTCAAAGATGTTAATGAAAAAAAGATGCAGATACACCCAATTAACATTAGCCACAATTATCATTGTAAATTTTAGATAATTTATGCCTTAATTAAGCTTAATATGATTAAAAATATGATAATAAACTTCGAATAATTTATCTACTTAACATTTCTTACTCATTAATAACTTTATAAAGTATAATTTTAGATAGCTCTGTTTGAAGTCAATATAACTTCTAATAATAAAAATTAGATTAAAAAATGAATGAAATTCTTTTAAGGTTATTCACATTGATATCTTATATTTCACATATAAAAATATAACAGCAATATCAGATGGTAAATCAGTTAAAAATTTATAGATCCATTTGCAATTGTAGAGCTGAACTTAACAAATTATTCGTGTTAAGTTCTGACCTACTTTAACTGGAAATTTCCGGTTAAGAATAAATAACTGAATAAATTTAATGATAAATTAGCATTTAGAGCTATATATATTTTTTATATTTATTTATAAAATTAGCTGATAATAAAATAATGGAGATATTTAGTGCGAAAACAAGACTCGGGGGTTGGAAAGTCGTGAATCATGTTTTTTTATATCGTGATTTCTCAATAGTTTATATGGACACACTAAATCATTCCCTGACAAATTACAGTCACGTTGTGATTAATGAATAAACATAAAATTCCATTCAATAATTTTCTCTCTCCTTGAAGCGCTGTACTCAAGCTGAAGATAGCCATTAGAAAGATAAACATTTCCCTTTAAGAGCTATAATTAAACGGTTCAAGATGTACTTAATTTGATAATTTATATAATTTTACTCTTCTGTACGAATTAACTTTAAAGATTTCACAATGTTTTATTACAGTAGATAATGGCGTGTGATAAATACACAATTATTCATACGAGTATTTTACTACAGAGGAACCACGAAAGTCTCGTGTAATCTCATAGTCAATTTTCTTTGTAGTAAATGCATTTACAACGCAATTGAGAGGGAAAAGTATGCAAATAAAGAGGACAATGCCGCTAAGTTACATGTAATTAGTAGTCTATTGACATAACTCTACAATTGTTATCATACGTCGAATTTTGGTGGATAGAAATGTTTGCTACTATCAAAATTATGAGCAATTTTTAATTATTTCCAGATAATCTATTGCTTTAAAATGGCTAAAGTCCAGTCTGTATGTCTAATTTACGAGATTATATCTGGACCTACTAGTTAGAGGATATCTCGACAATAAATTCTGTGGGATTAGATGTGGATCCTAGCGGCGTGGTCTCCTCCAAATCTAAATTTAACAACACGCAACAATTCTCTTTGTGACATTGTGAAAGAGAAAATTTCTCAACTATGTCTTGCAACAGTTATCGAGGGCTGCTTTAATGACTTCCAACTGTTGATATGAAAGAAAAGACCAGAACATTTAGAGATATTAAAATTTGTGCAAAGAAAGAAGGAGAACAAACAGATAACTTCTATGTTGTGGCCATTCTGCATTCATACAAAATTAATCAAAATTTCAATTCATAAATATTAACCAATCCAGACTGACGTTTTAATTAAATTTTCTTACATTTATATGTTTATTAGCTGCTACTTTTATGTGAGACTGCGTTGTGATCTTAAAATCTAACCAGGACCAGATTTTCAAATAACTAAACAAGTTACAGCTTAGGGCCTCGCATATTTTCATGTATCATTATCTGATGAAGGAAAGGGTCTGTTATATGTTATAGCTTAGGACATTAAATTCAGAGCTGAATTTAAATTCGTTAATCAATTAATGTCTTCATAAATATGATTTTCCTCCATAACAGAAAGAAAATCCTCTTCAGTTTATATAAAATTATAATACAAAAAACGTAAAATAATATCAAAACATTTAATGAATGACGACTTGCTGTCCATTCATGCGATTGATCAGTTATTGATTGACGTCACTACCGTTCGATACTACAAATTTATAATCGATTAAAAGCATGAAAGACAGACAACAGATTAATTACCCTGTTTTATGAATTAAGCTAGAACTTGAAACATTTCCTGTAAACGATGCTTTAAAACGAATAAAACTCACTCCTAATTTAATTAACACGAATATATTCTAAGCAATCATTATGTATGGCACCTACGTAACTTTTTGTCTGTCTCTCACGCTCTGTCTTATAAGGCGCGACTGTCAGACAATAAAGATTGTGATTAACTGGTAAAGTATCTTAATACACTGTATTATCATTTTTGAGCGAAGTATTTGGATAATTTTAAATATTTTCCTTAATTTAAAATAATAAAATATTAAAGAAAATTCATTTTTTTAAATTAAAAGTATAGGTATTTATTAAATACATTTCGAAAATTCTTGTTAAATTTTATTTTTTATTAACGACAACAAACAATTTTTTCTAATCTTTTTACACCATTTAGATTTTTATATCAATGAAAATAAATAAAATAATGACTTTAAATATAAAAAATAAATATAATTTTATTTTTTATAATTTATATTTTGGAATATTTAATATCTAAAGAAATTATTTTAAATTGTTTATGACTAAATTGAGGTTTTTCTGGAAGATACAGAATGCCTGCCGCTATCTCTAGAATAAAATACCTTAATTTAATTTAAAATTAATGAAATTTATTGATAACAAAGAAGGGAATAGTAATAACACAAATATACATTAATTTCAACGAAAATCATGCATATTAACAATCCAAATTTTAAAAGTTTTTCGCTAATTCACTTAATTTGACGCGCGCCTGGACGCAAGCGAAAACTTAAAAAACGAAAATACTTCACTAATTATTATTATAAAATAATACCATTGAGACAGTTTAATTAAGCAACTTAGTTTACGTCCATTATAGCCAATTTATTCTTTAATTACGATATTTAATATAAAATATTTTACAATAATACGCGTCGCTACGCGACGTCGACTTTACAGATTTTCAAATAAATATTAATATTTATTAATCCTATAACTAATTATAAATAAATTAAACTTAATTTTATTTTTCATTGTAGTTTATATAAAAAAAATATGTAGAAAAAGGTAGAAAATGTATAAAATATGCGCTTCTTCCTGTTAATGATCTACCAATTATGGCTCGAGAAAGTGACAATAAACGGAATGTATTGTGCGTGGGTCGAAACCCACTCAAATATTTAAAAAGAAAAGAAAGCTTTAAAATATGTCCAAATAGTTAAAACTTTAGCTTTAACAGCTTAAAAATAAAATATCGAACTGAAAATCTGAGTTAATGCGGAGTTGTTGAACTCCAGAAGTTGATGCACCCCCATTAAGTTATACATAAGACAATGGAAGGAGTATTTTACACTCTAGTAGAATTTCTTGCAACTTTAGTCATGCAGTAATTATATAACCATAGATTTTTATAAATTGCATGAAATCTCGTGATGCTTAACTAAACAAGTGTGAAATTCGCGTGAATAAACCCGACGAACAGTTAAAATAATTAATGCTTCAAGTGAACTTGGCATTGGAAAGATTACTCAGTGCAAAACAGATAATGAATGAATGTGTAGATCAGTATGTTATTTTTTATTTTAATTTTTAAAGTTATCACGATACTTTTTCGTGAGAGTCAATTATAAACGGAAGTGTTTGAAGAGAAAATAAAATGGAGATTAATCTATCTCTCGATGTAACTTTATCCATTAGTTTGAGTCACGAGTTCTTGATCTTACAAGAGCGTTGGAGCATCACAAACGTGTTTTTATATCTGAAATTTCGTGAAAAAAAAATAGATTCTACACACTTTAATCTTATAAAATTAATTGGATTAAAAGCAAATTACTGTAATTCGGCTCCAAGCAAAGCACTTTAATTGTAATTGCAAACTGTGATATAGTTAGGATTGTAGAATTTTTGCATTCATTTTTTAAAATTTAATTAAATAAAAATGGTTAAATTTAAGTTTATTCTAAGAGGTGGGACTGAATAAAGAATGTCTACACGTTTCTACGGCAGTAATTACCATGAATTATTATTTTCAGCACCTAAACCAACAAAATTCCCATGTAAAAGTCTACAGAACTATTCATTTAAGAGAATAATATTTTAAAAATGGAGCTAAACCAGTTTTTTAACCTTGCACTACATTTTAGTGATTAGAAAACATCATATTTTCATGAGAAAAAAAAATGAAATTTGAAGTTTTGTTTTGACCCAGGGATGATACACTCCATGACGCCTCTCAAATATCTAATCAATTGGACTATCAATTCGAGTGAATTAAACGAATACGTGATGTTATTTAGTAAACTAGCAAATTATTTTTGTACCAATTATAAAATATGACAGAATTATCATGCAAAGTACAAGTCGAGACATTTCCTTCGCCTAAACATATTGATAAAATATACGTAGGCGATCCGGTTTTTTTAAAAAAATCTTCAATAAAATCTTAAGAAATTCTATTTTAAATCTGTCAATACTTCAAGAATACAATATTCTAAGATACACATTATGACGACTTAAACTCGAGTTAAACTTCACGAAACAACGTAACAATATGTAAATTGGATCCACGTACCTGATCTTTCTTACGTGTTTAAGTTACTTAAATATACATCCAGCTCGTACTATATGAGAGATATCATTATGAACATCAGTATCCCAGTTAAGTCTCTATCGAAGAACTGTTCTACTATCTTCAAGCGTGACTTGCAAGGTGTATCACGTGACTGGCGTAAACACCTGTCGAGGCGGAAGGAACCGGTTATCGGTTAGGGTGGATCTATTCAACAGACGTAAAAGGACATGCTGTTTTATGACGTAGAGTTTTTTCGCTATTTTATGCGTGACGTAAACTTCTAATCCCACGTTACATAATTATTTCTGTAACGTGTGATTCAGCAAAATGCTCGGGTCTTATACAGCACGTTGTTTAACTCGTTACACGTGAAAGAAACTCTTACAAAGTGTTAATCCTGTGATTCTGAGCTCGGTTCAAACATTACTCAAGGCCTTTTGTATGGAACTCGAAGGGTTGAAACTGAGTTTTCTCTTCGGAATCGTTAATTTTAACAAACATACCGTGATCTTTGCCATTAAATTACCAAAGTAAAAGGAGAAAAAAATAGGTTTTCCTGTCCCGTTTGCACTTTATAAATGGAATGGAGATAAGAGAGATGTGGAAGATAAACGGAGTGAATAGAGATATAAACTTGAAGAAGAATGATATCAAAGCATCTATATCCTTAGGCCATCATCATTATGCAAAAGTTTACTTGTAAAGAAGTCCTATAACATATTAACTCCTCGAAGAATCTTAATTCTGTAACCTATTTAGACAAGTATTAAAAGTAGGAAATTCTACAGTTAAGTACAATGAGGTCATTCTATCTATGTATTTTTTCGTTTTCCTTTCTAAAAAATATATATTTTTAAATAAAAAGTTGTAATATTTCAATTAAATTACATAATTAATTAATATTAAATTTTGTAATTTATTGCTTTAAATGGATTTTGTATATGTTTTGAACATGACTCAAACTAATGCCGAATATAGATAGATTCACATTGATCTAAAAGAATTTAAATTAATGTATTTTTCACTTCAAATTACATGAAAATGTTGTATATTGTAACATGTAAATTATGTAATATATTGTAAATTTTGACCAAATTCTTCTGGATTTCATTTTTCCTTCATGTTTTTCGAAGCTACTATACTATGATGAGCCTTCGTATTCTGATTCATTTTTAAGTTCTATATATCTGGCTTACGTAAACATTATTCAAATTTTATAAATAACTCGGGTTTGGCAGTTATGAGTCAAAACATTACATTGAACAAATGAGATCATTTTTAAGTTCACTTAGATTGATTTCATTATGGATCATTATCAAGAGTTTCAACATAATTCACCTTGAGGAACCGAAATTAGTCGAAGCTAAAGTTAATGGTGTCATTTAATGGCGTAACTCTCGAGGAATTTAAATGTCACCATTTCAAATATTTGAAAAAAATACGAATGACGGCATTTACGCGTTGAATATTTCATTCTAGGAAAGAATATTGGCGACGTTATTACTCATTGCCAGGGCCTGATTTATACATAAATAAGACTGCAGCTTAGGGCCTGACATTTTTACACGTATCACTATTTATTAGAAGAGAAGGGCCTTTCATACCTTAAAAGCTTCGGGCCACAACACGTCTAACTCCAACCCGGCTCATTTTTTAAAGATAAATAAATAACTTTATGCATTTTTATTTAAATTATAATTCAATTTACGATATTTTCATGTTTTTTTTCTCGCATACTTTTCGTTGGAATCTTGTTTACTGGAGCGAAGTTACGATCACGTTTTCACATTCTTCTCTCGACTGACATCGAGATACAAGGAAGTATTTCTTTGACCTCATCATTTTTCGTCCACTCGACAGTTTACAGCATTACATTAAATGCGACCCTTCCATACTGAGAGAGACAAGTTTTACATTCCCAAAATGGACATGACAAAATCGCCCTTGAGAGTATCTTTCGCTATCACCTACAGCAATAAAACTTGCTTTCTATATCCTTCAACTGTAAATATTTGATTGGATATTTGCCATTTTAACAGCCAAATAACTTAGAAATTGATTAATTAATTAATTATACCAGCATGGCATAATTAATCAATTTCTCCACGTGAATCTAAGTAAAGATTTACTGGAAGTTTGGGCAAAATAATGTAATATATTACTAAATTTAAACTGAAAGGCGCTTAATGACGAATATTTTATAAAATATAAACAAAATTTTAAAAATATTGACCCAGTAACTGATGATAAATTCATTAAGCTGGCAACTTAGGTCAGTTTTCACGCTGTTATCGAAGATTTTATGTCTTGGTTTATCAAGCATCACCCTGCTCCTTACGAATCTTACGTGAAATCGCTACAATAGATCTTACCTTTTAGCACGGTAACTCGTCGATTCTACTAATTTTAGTATAGACATTCTGATATACAGTCAATAAGACAAGTTTAGAATATTAATTAATTAATTTTTCAGATGAAGGTGGGTCTAGTTACTGGTGGAGCAAAAGGAATTGGAAAGGCAATTTGTAATATTTTAGCGAAAAATAATTATAGAGTAAGCATAAAACATTTTTTAATTTTTAAAAAGTTCTGCTTGTGCCATCATCTGTAAACAGAGATGTGTGTACAGTTGTTTTTATTATGTATACTTTAATATATAATTTATGTATATTTGTAAGTTTTTACTTGAAGTTTCAAATATAATTTTCTGTAATCCTTATTTAATACTGTATACTTGTATATAGTATACAATAGCTAGGAATTAACAACTGAACTTACAGGAATAGAGGCTTTATAGAATTTAAAATTTTGATATAATTTTTATATATATTGCATTTCTCTTTACAGATTTTTCATTTGATAAGAAAATAGCCCTTGTACATAATTAGCAATTGAATTTATGAGCATAAAATATTACCTACACGTACTAACAACAATGAAATAGTTTTGTAGAAGTCAGAATGCTAATACTATTATTGATGAAAGTTTAACAAACCTGAAATTTGTTGGCTGGATGGTCTAACAGTAAGTGGTAAGGTGTCGGCTTCCTACTCTGGGAGACTGGGGATTGAATCCAGGTAGTCGGATTTCTTGAAATATATAAAAACTTTCATTATATTGTTTTATTTTTTATGTTAGAAATTGAATTTTATTATAAAGTATAATTGTCATGCTTATTCTTCCTCTAGCCCCTTATTGCTCATAGTCTGTTTTTGGCAACTATGTATTTGCCAATTGTGCTAGTTTTTTTGGAATGTAACTTTTACTTAGTTGGTGAGGGATGTCTACATGTATGTCATTGTTGTGATAGACTTTTCTTTGTTAATTTAAAGAATTTAATACACTATAAATATATTTTTACAATTATGATTGATTTCCAAGTAAAAGTTTCCACTAAGGAGTCAAATTGCTATGAGTGAGTAATATCAAATATTCACCTAGCATTGCATTCAATTCATTCTAATTATAATCAAAAGAAATGAACTGAAATGTATTATTTTTTGATATAACTTATTAAAAATTATTCATCATGAAGTTTAAGAAAAATGTAAAATGCTTTTAAAATGAATTTAATACAAGCTTCCTTATTGAATTATTTTTGCTTTTTGAGATCAATTTAAGGAAAAACTAAATGTAAATAATATACATGAATTCTGTATTGAATTATAGACTGGTATATGTTTGTCATTCATTTCAAATATTTCACATCAAAATAGTTTGAAAAGAATCTTATTTATTCACAATAACCAAATGTAGCTGTTAGAATATATAATATACATTATTATAAAGTTAATGGAATAATGCACACTGTTATAAACACCAAATGATTGCAAGTAGAATATATTTAGGCTTGTCATACATCTAAAATTAGTCAGAACAGTCAAGGATTTATATAATTGTCTAAGATTCCTAAATCATTATCAATAAAGTATACATATTGAAGAAACAATGTAAATTATTCATTCAAATCTCTTACAATTGATTTTACATTACTTTTAGGATGTCAAATGTAGTGTTTGTATACTTATAGTATCCAAAAGAAACTGTGCTTGAAAATTTAGCATTTGTAAAAATGGTGGATCAACAACAGACAATACAATATACATTGATGAGAACTAGTTAAAGTTTTTGGTGACCTAGAAATTTGGTAAAATTTCAAGCTTTGAATTAATTATTTTTTTATTATGTACCTTTTCTTATATAATCATGTTTTATATTAAAAAATGAAGTAAAACAATTATANTTAGGTAATAGTGACAGATGTTGACTCAAAAGAAGGAATTGCAACAGCTACAGAACTTCAAGACTTATATGGAAAAGAAAATGTCATGTTTATGGAATGTGATATCTCATCTTTTGGACAATTTGAAAGTAAATACTATCTCTTCCATGATTATGTTTCTTAATTTGCATTTTCTGTTATTCTTTTTTACCTTATCCCAAAATATAATGTTTAATAAGATAACATTATATGAAGCATGCAATGCCATTTTTCTCTAAATACGTTTTATTGAAGAATTGTATTCTAAATGCAATGTTTTCTGGCACAAAAAAATATTGTAGCGATATTGACACTGTAAGTGGTTGTATTTTGAAGATGAATTTATGTGAAGATATAACGTTTAAAGTGCTAGAGTGCAAGTCACGGCACTTTTGGCGCTTACTTTATGTCTTATATTTATATTATTTTGATATTCCAGAGAATTTGTAACCTAATGCTTTTTTACCATTTTATTGTAAAATTGAAATGAATTCATTCATTAGAAAAAGTGTTTTTTACCTCTCCTGAAAAGGTTGTTTTTTGGCATTTACAACATTATGGCATTGCACGCTTCATATTCAGTTTTTTATGTTAATGTATGGACCGGATGAATACTTTTGTTCTTAAACAGATCAATACCGTCATATAAAGTTCAATGTTGATTTTTAAAGTTAGCTCAAAAATTTGGAAGATGTAATATCTTGAAGTTATTGCCATTCATTTTGGGTTGCAGTTTTCAAAAATTGTAGACCTACAGTATAAATTCTCACTGGTGTTTGACTGTTTATTTTTCTCACCTTCCTTAATCTTGAGAACAGAGTTAGATTGATGAAAATTGAGACCAGATACAGAAAGCTTAGGCAGAGCTGGCCCTACCATAGGGCGAACAGAGCAGCCGCTCCAGGCGCTAAGTCCTAGGGGGCGCCTCAGTGGTAAAGAAAATTAAAGGGTATAAATTAGGGACAACCAAGGGGGGCACCATAATAGGATCTCGCTCCATTCTAAAACTTGCCTCGGACCGGCACTGAGCTTAGGGACAGCAGGCCATGATTAATTATATATGAATTTCGGAAGTTGTGTTATTTCAGTTTGAGGATTTCTCCTAAACAGAGTTAGATAGATAGATGACTGTCATGACTATTTGTTAACAGAAATAGTGTGATGTATATGGAGAAGACACTACTAAAATTGAGAGCATTGTGATGATGATACAATAAATAATTGCTCATTTCTCTTGCATCTTCATTTACATCGTCAGGAAGAAAATCAGCAAGACATTTTTATGAATATCTGTTTGACAGATCATGAATAAATTATTTCTTTAATGATATGCAGTTTTCAGCATTATATTAAATGTCTCATGTTGCTGAAATAAAGGCAACATATTGCAATTTCTCACTGCAAAACAAACTGAAGAGAGAAACATAGACAAAATGCATTATATCTTAAACATAAAACAAACAATAACAAACAAAGGAAATATCAAGCAATCAACATTTTAAATTAAATGACAGTTCAAAATCCAAACAACTTGTTGCTCTCTCTCGGAGAGCAACAACTTATTTTTTTATTCAAATCTGAAAAAACAGATAACACCATTCAGGGGAAAAATTTTGAATTGAAATAATGTGACTTCCAGTTTGCATTGGAAGTTCATATATAGTTAACTGGGGCCTCATACACCGAAGCTTTCCATATCTGATCTTGACTTTCATGTATCTAACTCCTTTCTCAATATTAAGGAAGAAAGGATGACAGTGAGAATTTATAAGTCTGCAATTTTTTCAAATTGCCACCCAAAAATAAAATATAGATAAAACTAAAAAACAGATAAGGTAACATAACAACCAAAAATGGTGAATAAACAAAAATATACTTTTTATTTACTGTTATTTTATTCTTATTTTTATCATTTATATTCCCAAGTGTATTGTGGAATATACAAAATAAAGCATGACTTTTTAGTAATCCTGTGAGGTCCCAGACAGAGTCTAAATCTTTCATCAAATGTGTGAAAAATTTGATTCATTTAAGAAAATACAGTGGAACCTCGGTATACGACCTTAATCCGTTCCTGGTGTTTGGTCTTATACTGAATAGGACGTATACCAAACCAACCTTTTCCATAAGAAGTAATGTAAAAATGATTAATCCGTTCTCATGTAAAAAAAATGGCTGGCTTTAAACACCTCGCTTTCCTGGCTAGTTTCTGCTTGATTTTTCATGAGAGCAGCATGTATCCTTTTAACTTTCTCGCAAATAATTTCTTCCGATACGCTGTCGCCGGCACACGTTTTTCAGTTATCCAAAGCAAAAGCAATTTCTCGACACGATCTAATGTCTTCGATCTCTGTTTAGAAATTTATTTAACCCCTTTCGCAACGTTAGCAAATTTAATAATGTCTTTATTTTTCACGATTGTCGATATCGTCGTTCTCGGAATACGGAATGCAACAGTTAAATCTCGTTAAATCTCGAACACGCATGCCACCTTCATATTTCTCAACAATCTCTTTTTTCAGTTCCGTTGTGATTCTAGTCATTTTTTTATTTTTCTGTTGCCCTTTTGCAATTCATGATTAATAAAAATAATAAAATGTTACTTACAAATTAAAATCAGAAGAAATTTAACAAAGTTATAAACCTTAGCACCGCGAACGTCTAGTCTAGTGTAGTACACCGTAATGCTAATTGTTCATAGATGGCAAGTATAATTGAATTAAGTCGTATACCGAGCAAAATTTGTTTCGTCCAAACAGGACGTATTCCGAATTGGACGTATTCTAAAGCAGACGTATACCGAGGTTTCACTGTATTTTGTTATACAAAAATGCATGAAATAGATCCATTGCAAAGTTACGAAATAAACAATATGGTCAACCTGTGAGGTCATGAGTTTGATTGAGCTTTGTCTTAGACACTTGTAGACATGACAAAATTTAAAAATACATGAAAAAGCATTCCTTTAAAACAAAAACTATCACATTATAAGTAATAAAAACACAAAAAATTCTTAAATGTCAGAAAAAAAATATCACTGCGTGAGATACAAGCAAAAGCTACAAAGTTCGATCAACACTTGAGGACAAAGTCAAACAGAGGTGTCGAATTGATTAACGCAGAGTGAGCTTTCCCACATCCAAACTGGTCATCTAATTTCATCTGGAAACAGAAAGGGAACAATTGGAAGGTGGCGAGAGAAATTTGGGACCAATCAAATTCAGAGTTTTGGGAAGAAATCATTTATAAACCCTGAGATTCAAGGACAAGTGTGGTCACTTCTCTCTATTTCCAACTGTTTGTCCTCTGTGTCGATTTTCTTGTCATTTTGGGCTTCATCTTTGTCATGCCACCTACATTCCTCTGCACTATGCAGACTTCCAGTCAGTTTGCCTTGGGGCTGTTGGTTGCCATCAAAATCCTGTCCAATCAAGCAAATTAAAGACTGTGACCATAGACTGAAGTTTCTACATATCTGTTCAAGAGAAATTCCCAACTAGAATTGTGTAAGCGTTATCTTTCCAAGTAAATGGTTTGTGTGTTGTAAAGGTGACTGTCTCAGTTTCAACCACACCCACATTGTTTGCATCCCATGTTCATCTTGACAAGAAGAAGGATTAATCTCCCCTTCTCCCTATTGGCAAATCTCACAATACTATTTCATTTATAATGTTTTTGTATATATCATTTTATTTTTGTTTTAAAATATCAATTTCTATGATGATGATTTAGCAAGAAAGCAAACTTTCAGAAGAGCTCCAGAATCAGAAATAATGTAAACATGTTCCATTTCATTGTATAAATTAGATATGAAAACTGATTTTGGAGAGAATATTATTATAACATTAAAGTCATAAGTCTCCTTTCTATGTTAATACTTTTCAAAATAATTTTATATTAATTTTGTTTTCTAATTATCAATAATATGTTATTTAAAAGGATAAATCAAAAACAATTGAATCAAATAATAAATATAATTATTTATATACATTACAGCAACAATTGTAAAAGTAGTTCAGCAGTTTGGAAGTATTGACGTAATTGTAAATAATGCTGGAATATTGGATGAAAATAACTGGCAAATGATGGTTGATATAAATTTGGTAATTATCTAAAACATAAAATTATATTAGTATAATACAGTACTTCAATAATAATTTTGTCTGCAAAACAATGCTACTTTTACAATAATTTTACTATTAATTTGTTTTTAATTCTTTCTACCATACATGCATTAATGTTTCATGCTTCTATGGTGAGTGTGGCAGGTTTAAAGTGGCAATTTCTGGCAAGGGCACAAAGAGGGGCAATTGGGACACTTTCCCTCCCATGGAATCAAGTAAAGAATTCCACAAATTATTATCATAAAAGTGATTTAGATATGTAATCTTACACTCTTGACCATGGAACATTTGTGTCTTTTTGTATTGATGCAATACTATATTCTATAATTAATTTATGAAAAACCCAAAAATTAAATAAAAATTTATCGATATAATTATTTTTCTCCAAGCTTTAACCCCCTGGAAACCCTTTTTCAGTTTTTCTGTGGACAACCCTCATTGCTGGTTAATGAAGGCCATCTCATTAGCCTATGTACAGTACCTTGATTAACTATGAATTTCTGAGGTTAAGGCTTGACTCAAAACTGAATCCTGAGAGTAGTGGGCTGCAATGATAAAGATATTGGCATTTGCATTTATCAGTTTCCAACTGTCAGAAAAAAGTATTATTTGCTACTATTTGAATTTCCATAACTGATTATCAGTTCATTATAATCCAAGAACATTTAATTGCAAATTACAAATGAATAATATTATAATATAATACTTCTGAATGAGTATTTTTGATTCTGTTTTGATTCAAACAATCAAACTTTATTTCTGTTAATAGAGTTTGATTGCTGATTAAATTTAAATAGTCACTCCAAATTAAGTGATATGCAGTAGTTATCAGTTTATGCATTGTTTTTGATATCTCTTAATATGAAATATCAGTGATATTGAAATAAATGACAAAGTATTAAAAGAAAAATATAATGTTATATCTTTAAAAATAAATGATTTCTTGATTTTAAGATTATAACAATTTGATTAATTTTTACGAAATAAAAATTTAATTAAAAATGTACTTACATTTTTAAACTTTTCAAATGTTCATTTTTTATCACTACTATTTTCTATAAAGTTTAAAGTTTAAATCTTGCAAAGTTTTTTGTTATAAGAGATTTCACAGATGATATAAATTATAAAATATACATAACTATATTTTGAAATAATCATTTAATCATATTTTTCAATTATGTTGGAATTAAACAATAAACAAATGTAACAGGAACCTGTTGCAGATGTGCTTCTCGGAAAAACAGTGTGTTACAAACATTTTCGAACTTGAAAGTTCTTCTTCAGGTAACTGACAACTGTTAAGCGAATGCAATTCAAATTCAAGTCAAATTGGAATATCATTCAGAATTCTATCGTGTGGATCGATAACATCATTCAGGCATGTGCCCCTCTGCCGGTTGTAAATTATCGTAAGTTCTTGTCTATGAGTGCCTGCCATGCAGTTGACAGGGTGATTTCATCTTTGTGGTTAATGCAATTATCATCTTTTAATGTAGCCATACAGATGTAAAGGGCCTCTAGCCATCTAAGATGGTGTATGTATTTTGTAGGGTGGATCACCTTGGCCTGGTTGAACAACGGCTCTATTTCCATATCTGAGGCATAGATGGCTAGAGCAGTGGTTTGCCTCGCATGTAGAATATCCGCTGTGTGTTCTTTTATTCTCACTTCTAGGGAGTGCTTGGTGGATCCTACATAGATCAGGTTTCTGTCCCATCTATGGTCCATAATCAGGATGATGTATACCCCAGGAGTTGTTCTTTGTTGGGGGGTATCTTTCCCATTCTGTAAAATATCAAATTGTCACGCATCTTCTATAGGCGATGTGAATATTCTTTCTCTTGGCTATTGTGTTGTACAGTGATTTAATGTACGGATTGTATGTAACCAGGATGATGCTAGGTGGAACTTCATTGGGTGCTTGGTTAGGGGCTACTTCCCGGCAGCGCCATTTGCGGATCAATTTACGTACAATCCCAGGATAACCGTGTTCTTTGGCTATTTGTTCAATATGCCTTAGTTCGGCTTGTAGAGTTATCTGAGAAGACGAGTGTGTATAAAATGGCAGCCTTCAACGTCTTAATTAAAAGGGCATATACACACAATATATGAACTTTCAGTAAAAACTGGAAGTCATATTCAATTCAAAACTTCCCCTGAAAGGAGCTAGTTAGGTAACTTTATTACTAACAGGAAAAGTATGATGTATAGGGGCAAGATAACACTAAAGTGAGTTTTTTTTTTTTTTTTTTACTCTTTCCACCCTGTGGGCACTAAGAAGGTACTAAATTGAGGTGAAGGGCATATATTGATTTTTAAAAACTACAGCCCAGCATTGTGTGATGTCACAATAAATAATTGTTTATTTCTCTTTTATTTATTTTTGATTATTTTTTTTAACAGAAATGTCTTTTACTGTCAGATGTAATAATAATAAAATTAAAATAATTTGTTTGTTTTAATGATAAAAATGCTGATATTTAATAGAATTTCATTTTCAAAAATTCAATGACTACATGATAATTTTACATAGTTTCAAAAATGCATAAGTTTTAATTTTAATTTTTAGAATGGATCAATTCATGGGACTCTTCTAGGACTACAATTCATGGGAAAACACAAAGGATATAAAGGTGGAACTATTATTAATATAGCTTCTAATGCTGGTAATTTATTCTTTTATTTTTATGGAATAAAAATAATAAAAATAGTTATATTATAAATTTTATTTTTAATAAAATTAAAATGTATACAATNTACAATTATTTAATTAATAATTTAAAATGTTTTATTTTATGTATAAAATACTTTTAAATATTAAAAATAAATATTTATCAACTTTTAAATATTCTAAATTTCACTTTATATACGAATTTTTATTTTTTAAAATTCACTGGTTTTTCATTAATATTAATTAAAACATAATTTCATATAAAGTATTAATTTACAAAATACAGTAGACAATCACTTTTATGATGTAATTTGTTCCTAGAAAAGTTTCATAATGCAAGATTTCTTGCATCATAACTTGTTCATATACCAGGAAGTGTTCATATAAAGTTTTCCATAAACTTAACACTTCCTGGTCTATGAACAAGTTTTGCTCATCAAGCCAGTTTTCTCCTAAAAAGTAAAGGAATTTACTGTTTAACTTGTTGAGTTTAAGCTGTCCAGCTCTACAGAATGTCTATAATTGATGTAGGAAGTACATTTAATGAAAAAATTATTTCCTATGTTAAGTGTTCCTATGTTAAGGCATACACTGTATATTTTGATGTTTTGTAAAATGGCTGTGCATAGAAAGTTATCAGTTGATGAAGCTTTAACCATACTAATATATAAAGAATGAATGTTCGTTTGTTTGCTGGAAGTAATCTCAGAATCTACCAAATTGATTTTTAAAATTCTTTCATTGTTATAAAGATTATTCCTTCTAGATAAACATAGGTTATGTACTATTTTCATATTAAGAAAGTGAAATGCAGAAGAACAATTTTTATCACAGCATTTCTCTCCTATCATCGTATAGTCATTTGTCTGCTCCCTTTGTCACCAGTGGGCTTTTTTCATCTAATTACTTTATCTATTTTTTTGGATAATCTGTGGAAAATATGGACTACCATAAAACTCAGACCTCTCACTTCTCCTTTCTGATTTCATCCCCTACCTCTAAACTCCCTAATCTTTTGAATGATCTGGACAAATTTTGCTTAGTTTGGGCTGCAATTTGAAAAAAAATTGTAGACCTATAAATTTCCACTTGTCATCCATCTGTCTGTCTTTCTTTAAACATGAGAACAGAGTTAGATAGATGAAAAACAAGACCAGATATGGAAACCTTAGGGCAGGAGGCCCTGATTAACTGTATAAGAACTTTCAACGCAAACCGAAAGTCATGTTATTTCAATTCAAAATATCCACCTGAAAGGTGTTAGATAGATGACAGGTTTGACTCTATTGTTAAGGGAAAAGTATGATGTACAGGAGCAAGCCACTACTAATTTGAGGTGGAGAGCATATATTTTAAATGAAATAAATTAAATATATGATTAAAAATTGCAGCTCGACATTGTGAGAATGCCATAATAAATAATTATGTATACATAACAGCAGGAAAAGTAAAAAGTGCATTTGAAAGATATCCTTGGAAAGGAAAATTTCAAGGATATTTTTCAATATGATATAGTTCAGCCAAACCACATCAGATCAAAAGATGTTGAGAATTTTACTCTTTACAATCCTCCAAAAGGTATACGCTACTTTAAAACTCAGACCCTCACTCCTTCTTAATTTCATCCCCAAAATTGCCAACCCTTTGGCTTGGACCAAATTCTGCATACTTACTCTCTACCACCCTGCCTGAAACATATGCTATCTTATAATGAAGACAACTCAATCCTCTCGAGTTCCAATGCAATGCTGCTCAGTCTCCTGGGCAACACTAGGCATACTTTGCTAGTATTTCATATGATAAAATCCCAAGTCAGAAATACATAGATGCTAAAACTAAAGAAAATAAATCTTATTTAAACTTTGTCAATATAAACACTATATTATTATATTACTTTTTTTAAATTGAAAAAAGGCATTTTATTTTAATATTTTAGAATTTTTTTTTCTTTTTAATGAATATTCTGTTGATTGTTTTATGTTAACAGAAGTATAAAGAAACAAATTCCAAATATCATGACATGTATATTATTAGTTCTTTTTTTATGATTTTTTTTGCAAATAACAAAAAACTCCAGTCTGCATGGACATTCACAAGGGCTTACCTGTCCGGAAAGTGTTAATGTTATAAATTGAAATTATGTTCTTGGAAATAGAGTAACTGTATAATACTATTCAGAGATTTTCAATAAAAAATACAGCAATAAAATTGTACAGTAAAACCTGTGCAAAACAGGATCTTAATAAAATGGAAACCTGTCTAAACTGGAAGAATTCTTTTGAACACAGCAATTTGTTGTATTAAAAGAAACATGTTCAAAACAGAAACAATATTTGGTGCCACATGAGTCTGATTTACACAGGTTTCATTGTATTTCATCAATTGTATTGGAAAATACATACCAGTCATAAAAGGAGAGGGTTGTAAAGCAAGTAGTCTGAATACATAATTTTGCTGTATAAATAAAATGTAATTCAATTAAATTTTAATTTTGTTAAATTTTTAATTGAAATAAATTCTAATTTTTCTTTAGCTATTCATCCATTTCCATTGGCACCCATTTACAGTGCCTGCAAACATGGCATTGTTGGATTAAGTCGTAGCTATGGAGTAAGTGATTTACAAAATTATAACTATTAATAATTGTTTTTTAAAATAACTTTAAAAAAAACAACGAATTTTACATAATTATCTCAAACTACCAACTGATGGAGATCATGAGGCTTATCAAACTGTAGTGGAGCATTAGAGAGTCAAAATCACATCAATAAAAGACTAATTTTATTTGTGGGATGCATTCTGCTCTTCACTAGACTCTCTTCAGCCACTATTACATAAATACTAATAAGTTTTTGCAATTGTTTTAAGTATATGTCCACCAGTTGGTAGTTTTAGGTAATTATGTAATTCATTAAAGTCAAGAAGCTTATTTTACAATAAATTTTATTCTAATAACAGCATCCAATACATTTTGAAAGAACTGGAGTTTGCATTTTAACTTTATGTCCTTGGCCAACTAATACTAAATTATGTGATGAATTTGTCAATAATTCTTCACTACCAGATGTTGCTAACGAACATATGGAAGGCCTTAAAATGATGGAGTAAGTTTCTATTAATAATTTTCAATTAAGTTCATAACTTTTATAGATTCTTAAATAAGAAGTATTGCCTTCACTATATAATCAAAGAAGAGATTATTCAACATTAACTTGCAATTTTTGATCAACTGTGAACACCGTAATTCTTTGGAAAATCACAAGAAAATAATTTATGCGAACATAATTGAAATTAATTCTAATTATTGATATTAATATAATTCAGAAATATCTTATTTAGATCAATCTTCATATAACAAGTTGATCAACTAGCCCAGCGGTTTTTAATTGATTTAATTAAAGGGCACACAAGTTTATCACATTTTAGCAGTGCTGCAAAATATAGTACTAAGCAGTGCCATAACACTTCTTACATGTAACTTATTGCAGTTTTTGTACATATTTTAAAAACTGTATTGATAAAAAATTAAGTGCCTCAAGATAAAAAGTGCAATGTTGGGTGCTCCACTATTAGAAAAGAGTCGAAAAACACTAACAAGCTATTTCTGTAATCTGTGCATACTAATAGTTGCATGCAAATATTATAGTAATCTTGTCATTTATATTGTAAACTATTTTAAGTTTTTCTGTTTATCTATCTTTGTCTGGTTTTGTACTGACTAATGTAAATTAATATTTTCACTTGATTAAAAGATAGCATAAATGTCATCTTGAGAAATCTGGGTTGAATTCTTGGAAGTTTTCAGAATTAATTTACTTGCATATATTGGGTATCCATTTTTCATTGGGCAATGAGAAATGAGTTCAAACATGCCCATTATGGATTTAGTCAAGCAATTTTATTGTGACCCTGGCTATCAAAATCAGTCTAAGAAATTGCTTGAAAACAGCTTGCAATGCCATTTTTTCAAAATTTTATATAACTCAAAGAATTGACACTTGAAATAAATTTTTCTTTATATATTTCCTTGAGATTTTAAAATAATTTTTATTGACACAAAATTATAATTTTTTTCTGTTGTTGTAGTTAATGACTGTATGGTTTAAAGACCTTCTCTTCTTAGAGATCACTTAAATAGTGGAATTTTTTCATATACTTGTAGGATGCTCTTAAATAGTGAAAGCTGTCATTCTTGGTACTTCAGAGAAAGTACGTTTAGTCAATCAAGTAATCTTATAAAAGGTTTATATTTGAGTACTTCTCAAAATCTGATAGACAAAATATTTCTCACAAAACTTATTTGTTTAAATTTCTTTCAAAAAATAGAGCAAATTATTTTATGTAGATTATTTTATGAGATAGATTTGTGAGCTATGTTAATTGAAATCGAACATGATTTGTATATAGCTTACATAGAACAATAAACGGGTATTACGTATATAAAGACAATCTGTAGAGTGTAATTCCTCTGATTCTCTCCTTCTGCCTCCATCCCGGAACCAAAAGTCTGCATGCGTGACTGTTCGCGTAAAGAAAATTAACAGCCAATATTTATTTTTCTGTGTCTGTTTCAAGACACAGTGGTGTCATCCTGACAGGGCACCAAAGAGGTGCCGACCCTGTGGTCACAGATTTGATATTATTGTATTTAATGTTATTTAATATAAAGTCGAAAAATAAAAATAGGAACAAAATAACTTTTCTATCTTTTGCAAAGTTGTGTAATTTTGTTAGTGTGCTGAATCACCTCTTCCAATTAGAAACACAGAAAACTAGTATAGTACATTATAACTCTGAGAGCCCTAAGAGGGCCTTTTTTCAAGCCCACCCTGGATGAGAGCATTACATATCCAGGTATATCCAGAACAGACCATCTGAAAAATTCCTGGACTTCTTTGACACTCAGATTTGATCCTGGGTCTCCAGAGGTAGACGGTAGACTTATGCCTTAATTGTTCTGACATCTGGTCAGCAGTAATTCTGTTTGATACCATATGTGCACAATCTCAACAGTGATTCTGTTAATGCATGTTTTATAACTCACAATTACACAAAATTGTACTTGAAATGGTTCTGAAGTTTTGTTACCTTAAATGAAATGTCTTTGTTGATTATGGTTAAATTTTTCTTGTTGTTACTTATCTAAAAACACAATCTCAATGAACTAGAAATTTCTGTTGATAAGTTTGTCTGTATTTCAAGTGCCTACTGTATCAGTTGAAGTAGTATATTTACCTTAACAATGAAACTGTCTTCTAAGAATAGTCATTTTCATGTGCTTCTTTAAATGACCCCCATTACACTGATGTTTATGTTAACTAAAGACATCTGAAAATAGTTGACAAACAAGAGAACTGTGCAGAACTGAAAATGATCATTGTATTGATAGCCAATGGCCAAAGTGGTAAAGCTTCAACTTACTATTTGGGGAATATGGGGATTGAATCTGGGCAGTCAAATAACCCCAGGAATTTTTTGAAGGGTGTTCTGAAAAATCCAGATATATTCAGCTCCATCCTCACCACTACTCCCATTGTGGGCCTAACTTAACCTACAGTAAGATTGGTAAAAAGGTCCTCTTGGTATCCACAGGTTGGAAACAGTAAACAAAATAATACCAATTGTTTTTTTTTACTATTACATATTATATAGATCAGTGTTTTTCAACCTTCTTGAAAATGCGACCCCTTTACAAGTTAAAAAGTTCTGGCGACCCCCTAGGGCCATATTAAAACTATACCAGTGATTTTAAAATCTATGTATTTAATTTTCTCTCTGTTGAGACAAATTATTGTTGATTAAAATGAAAATTTCAGAAGAATCAACAATAACTTAACACACATAAAGTATGAAACTTCCTTTAATTATAACATTCGGTGCAGGAAGATGTTGACCTTTTTTTTTTTTTTTTGTTTAGGATCAGAATTTTCAGCTCCTACGTTTCTACTTTTTATTTCTTTTTGCAGATCAGCTCAGCACTTTTTCCGCTATCATTTTCTGGGGATGGCCGTAATTCTCGCTGAAATTATTGTTTTTTTTAATGTAGTGTAGGACCTACAAACACTTGTCTTTTTTCTTTTACCCGCGACCCCCGTGTACGGCTTCGCGACTCCCTTAGGGGTCGCGAACCACAGGTTGAAAAACACTGATATAGATAATATATTTTTCTTTGATTTTAAATTTGAATTTGAAAATAGAATATTTGGTAAAAATTTCTGCTCATTTTTAAGATGGCCCACTGAGAATCTAGGTCTTGTCAAATCTGTGATGGGCATAAAAAGAGATCATCTTTCCACAAAAAAGTTAATATTTATTTTATATTTTTATTTTATTTAATAAAACTAATTAAACAGGTAATAAATTATTCATATAGTGACTTTTTTGATTGTTTGTGTAATACAATACCAAATTTAAATTGCCATTTATATTTTTAGGCCATCAATTGTTGCAGAAGCATTACTCCACATGTTGAAGGATCAAAAAACAGGAAGTGTAATGAAAGTCAGTTTAGAAGGTTATCAATATGTACAATTATTATCTTAATAAAAGTTTTTATTGGGTTGCAATTTGAAAAAAATTGTAGACCTGCAATTCTGTACTGTATCATGATTGCAGATAATGCAAACATACACAATCAACCTACTAGAATGGTACATCAACTACAAAGACCATATTGTTACTAGAATTGCCTTTGTCTCCAGAAGATGATATGTGAGATAAGTGGCCTCAATATGGCCGCAGGTGTTTATTTAGTTGTGGGACACGTGGAGACCATTATTGAGTCTATTTACCAATATAAAAGTCATCTGTGTGTAAGTGAATCTCTATAACTCCTACTTTTTTGTCCACTCCAGATGAAATTTTGTTTTGTTGCAACAGACAATATTTCTACAAATTAAGTAGTTCATCCCAACATCTGTTATTGAATTTCTTGAAATCTCTACTCTTCTCAATTCTTCAATCTACTTTTTCATAAAAAGTATTCCGTCATTCTTGTCCAGGGAATTTCTAGTATTATGTATTTAAACTTCATTGTTTGTAATTAATCTTGAGAAAACCTTTGTATTTGAAATGCCTTCATTCGAATTCTTCGTTTTTATATCCATAAATAGTACTGTAATATCGTTGTCCCGAGTCACGCCACACAAATAAGAGTAACAATTAACATAAAATCGGCTAAGAAACTTCAAATTTTCGATACAAATCATAATGTTTGGTATAAAGATCATCCAATTTTCTGTTGATATCTTTCAAATCTTGATGTCACTTCAGAGCGTATTTTATATATATAAATTCCATATCCTTATCCAAATTTACATGTACGATGATAATTGGATTATATTTTTCTCTTAATTAAAGCCAACGAAATGTATAAACTATTCACGTAAACAAATTATACGTATTAACTTTGTTCGTTCTATGAATACGAACAATGGAATTCCTTACAATTCAAATATCTAAAAAAACAAAGTTGTAAAAATACAATTTTACAACTATCCCCGAGAGGACTCTATGGGATACTAACTCCTATTTAGGTGTTACAAATGTGAAAATCCGAAACGCTGCATGACCAGCCCGTTGGACAGGTGCATTTTTTTTGTTTTATCAATTTCATTTTGTGTACGGCAGTATCACATGGACGACCAATGTCTAGCTCCAGAGCAATGTTACCAAATGTTCTTGCTTCCTTGTTCCTGGGATGGAAAAGTGTATTGCTATTCGCTTTTACTCCGAAGGGAAGAGAGAAAGAAGATAGATCGCGAGGCGACGGAAGAGTCGGCCCTAAAGAAGACGGTCAGAAGCTACAAGAAGGGGAATAAAATGCTTTCCGAGAAGCATAAACCCCCTTCGTGGGGATAAATGCTTCTCGGAAGCTGGCCCCTATTTAGGTGTCATCTGCAAGGAGTAAATTTGGAAAACTGCAAGCTGCCAGCCTGTCCAATCGAGGCGCGAACCCACAACCGAACTCCCAGCGTTTAGGGTCTGGTCACCACCGCTATGAGCGGAGACGGAGTCCACTCGGCTACTGGTGGGTCCTTTCTTAGCTTCGTAGCCAAAAATTTTCTAAAAAGTAGCCCGAAAGTAGCTGACTCAAAAAATTCCTTTTTAATAATCCGACATTTGACAATAAAATAAAAAAAACAATTCGTACTTTTCCAGCAATAACTTTAATCGCAGAACAAACATTTTCGGCCAATTTACAGGACAAATAGGTCTAAACTGATCCAAAAATAAGGATCGCAACACTCAAAATACAAGCATAAATTGTAATTTACTAATATGTCGAAAACACTCATTTTATATGCAAAATAGTGCGAATTTTACAATAAACAATCTTGCCAAGACATACTTTTTTTTGCTCTTTCTTTCCTCTGGGCACTAAGAGGTCGGTCCATCAGGGCCCAAGCGGTCTTCGTACTCTGAACACTTGGAGTTCGGTCGTGGGTTTGCGCCTCGCCCGGACGGACTGGCTACGTGGAGGTTTCCGGGTTTTCTCCACGTCTGTAAAGTTTCCCTTAAAAGGCATCCTCCCTAGGCAGATCGCCCAAGTGTTGCGTTGCCATAACTTAACAAACAACAACAAAACACTAACAGGTTCTCTTTTAACAAGACCACAGTGGGGCGGCCGAGTGATGAGAGACGGGTCATCCTGAAAACTTCCTGTGGATTTTTTCGACCCGTCCGGATTCGAATCCGGGTCCCCCAGTACGGTAGGTTGCCACATTGACCGCTCGGTCATCTGGCCGCCATACCAAGGCAGCCTATAAAAATTAATTTTCCTATATAATAACAAATTAATAACTATTAAGAATATTTCAAAAGGATTTATCAAACTACAATTATTTAATTTTAAAGTTAACTAATAGACTTCTTGATTAAACCAATACGTACTGTACAGTACATTAGTAATAATTATATTGCTGTTATTATTAATAGATAAAGAATGTCTACATCCCACAGCACAGAAAGTAGAGATACAAATTAAGAAAAGATCTTGTAGCCGCGGCTCGAAGATCTTTTCTTAATTCGCGGCTTCGAAGATCTTTTCAAAATCAACGCTTTGCAAACGTTAAAAAACTATTTAAAAATTGATCATCTTTAACAAAATGGATACTTTATTAACAGGAGAGTAGATTTTATGAAAAACATTTTCAAAATTAAAGTCAATAAACGAAAAATAAAACTTTTAATGACTAGTAACTTAAAGTATATAAGATAATTCATGCAGGTTTATCAGATGATTCTTCATTTCAGGAAACTACTTATTTGTTAGAGGGCTTCTAATTAAATGTTTTTCAACATGAAAGTAAATAGTATTTTTTTTTTAATTAAATACAATTTCTTAAAGAAAAAATGTAAAAAATAAGCTATGCATGAATTAGTTTTTTTTTATACATAAAATATATCTTTCATATACGTGTAAGATAACAGTAAAAATATTGTTTTATTATAGGTATTAATAATGTATTTGCAGTTAATATACTGTAGTTACTTGAAATATCTTCTCGTGATGCAAAGTAAATATAAACCCGATCGATCAATAATCTACTTGAAACTTTTAGAATCTTAAACTAGATAAATATAAATTTTATAGTATAATACACTACCTTACACACTTTACTCAATAACGCTTCACAAATAGCTTTACCTATCCCTTGAGTACCACCTGTAATTATTGCAGTTCCTTTACGTCCATTCTTCAATGTTTTACTCACATTTCTTTACTTCAATCCTTCGGAACGTTAAAGAGGATTTAATACAGCTGTATAGACAAGTTAATGACGTAATTTGTTTCAAATGAAACGGACTATTATTGGCTTGCTTATCCAGCTGTATTAAGGCGCTTTACCAAGCAAAGCCCTTTTTCTATTTAAATGAGGTTTATGAATTCACTCTTACAGCAGATGTATAGATGAGAGTAGATTGTGTTCAAGAAATATCGTACAAAATATTTTAAAATAATTGTGAAGTCTGGAGATCAAAATGGAGTGTCTCAGTATCGGTAGTGAAAGCTTTGGAAAAATTTAAAATAATATAATTTTTTATATCAGACATTGGAAAAATGCTAAACTCTGGCACATTACGTAGAAGATAGTTCTAAATGGTTTTGGAATATGATGATTAAATTCATCTTTGTTGGCTTTTTTCTAACTCTATCCAACTTATGGGCACTAAAAAGGCCTTTTTACATAGCCCATTACGGGTTCGGCTAGGCAGAGAATGGGGTGGCCGGGTGGTGAGGAACAGGGACCCGACACATCCGGACCGACCAACCCTCGAAAAATTCCTGGGGTTTACGGCCAACGTTGACAATTATTAGTTTCAGTAACTGCCTTACGTAAATCTCAGTGAGCAAAACTCTATTATAAAAACGACCTTTCGATGCGCTTTCGTGACGGAGAGGCTTCGGAAAGGCACAAAACGGCCTTTCAGAAGGAAGTACAACTGTTAAGGATGCTCTCTGCTATCTAGTTTATTAAATAAATATAACAAATAATTTTACATTTTGTTACTACTAAACTTTTATAAATTACGTTACTTGTTTATATTTTAATTAGCATCAATCGAAAAATATCTAACGTTTCCATTACTACAACACATTGAACATTAATAAAACATCTCTGCTTCGGGCATAGGCACATAAGTGTTTTCTTTTCCTCCAATAACGGTCATAACTGCACCATTCTTACCATCTTCAAGAAGTTGTATTATTGCTTCTGCTATAGCACTGGGTCTAAAAATATAAAATAAAACACCAATATGGATTATACATTCAACATCATTAGAAGTCTTTAATATTAAAATCTTATTACATATACATTATCTGAAAATCCTAGTATTCTAGTTATTTGAACAAAACAGGAAATATTGAACAAGAAACATTTCCGTTAAAGCAAAGCCAAGTAAATAATTCCAGAAATTTTTAGGTGTGCGGTCTGTCTGAAAATATCGGACCCTTTTTTTTTAACTCTTTCCGCCCTGTGGGCACTAAGAGGGCCTGTTTGTAAGCCCAATATAGGTTCGGCTAAGCCCACAATGGGGCTACCGGGAGTGGTGAGGGACGGGGCCCGACATATCCGAACGGACCACCCCCGAAAAATTCCTGGGGATTTTTCGACTCGTTCGGATTCGAACCCGGGTCCCCCAGAGCGGTAGGCTGCCACCTTGACTGCTCGGCCATCCGGCCGCCTCTCGGACCCCATCATTCACCACTCACCGCCCCATGGTAGGCTTGGACAAACCCATAATACACTTGCTAAAAAGGCGTTCTTATTGCTCGCAGGGCGGAAACATTTTTTTAAATAAAAAGTTGTGGCAACGTCAACCTCCTCGCCGATCCTGATGGATATGATTAAAAACGCCGTCTCGGCCCCCATAGGGCAAAAAGACTTGAAAAGATGTAGTTTAAAAGTGTGTACTTTTTTAATGCTTTCTTACCTGTGGGTACCTAGAAGTCCTTTTTCAGCAAGTCCATTATTGGTTCGGCCAAGCCACATTGGGGAGGTGGGTGATGAGTGATACCCCATCACTCATTAACCAGAGTGGTCCGTCCATTATATATGGACGGACCACTCTCCGAAAAATTCATGGGGGTTTTGATCTGTCCATATTCGATCACGGGTCCCCAGAGGGGCATACTGCCATCTTAATACCCGACCATCCGAGGTCTAGAAGTTTGTATTTGTGTACATTGAAGCCATTAGCATAGTAAAATATTTACAATACTTTCGCATTCATCCCCTCTATGCCCATTTATATATTTTAATTTAATGAAAAATCATTTGAATTGGGATGTAATGAATTTAAAAGTAAGCAGATCAATATTTACTCTAACACAATCCGACTTTTCCAGATTTTAGTAAACTCTTCCGCAAAGAGGGTGTCGGCGGTAGTCGACCAAAACAAATCTGTGTTGACGGCAGAAGGACACAGACACATAAATGTAATTCCACTTTTTTCATAATGAAGCTTATGCTGCAAATAAAAATAGTAATATAATTTTTAAATTTTTGTTATAAAATATTAAATAATTAAAACTTATACATTGTTTCTATCACATACTTTTTAATTATTGATAAAATTACGTACAGTCTATTCCTGCGAGGAAGATAAGGGTTACATATTACAACATGATTAACACACTTCTACTAATAGTTTCGGTGGCGTAACTTCTGGTTTGGCTTGTTCGTATAAAGACAACACGACACGTGGGCGATGCCAAGTAGGATGCCTCCAGGGAGACTCCTATTTAGGTGTTATAAATGTTAAGAAAACCCGGAAAACTCCATGTGGCCAACCCGTCGTCCAGGCGCGATCTCAAGACCTACCAGTGGTTTTTATCCACTCGGCCATTGGTGAAAGTGTAACTTGTGTCATTTGTTATAATAAAAGTCCTTTATCAATATCTTTTTTGTGTTTACTTCATGAGTACGAGCTTCTTATCACTCATCCAACAGTGTCTCCGTATCCTATTGCACCACCATTACCTATTTATAAAAATAAGTCTTTCCCACTCGAAGTCCTCATATTCCTTTAGAATACAGGTAACCCCCGTATAACACGGCACTTCTATAGCACGGATTCGCTCTAACACGGTTCGAGAATTGGTACCATCCCCCGTATAACACGGTACTTTTATAGCACGGATTCACTCTGACACGGTTCGAGAATTGGGTAAAACCCTCGTACAACAGGAAATGTAATAAATTTTTACATACTTAAGTAATAATAGTTCACGAAAATTATTATTTTCGTGAACTATTAGTACTTAAGTATGTAAATTTTCTCTTCTCGCCTTCTGTCGATACACGTGGTCCTTCTCGAAACTTGTTTCAATGTTGCCAGATCGCGACGCTTCTGCTTCTGATGTTGCCGAATGTTTTTCCCTTATTCCATACTTGCTTTATTCTTCATAAGTGCTTAGCACCATATAAGGAAATTTATAAAGACCTTTTAACTAGAAGCAAGCAATCTAAAATTACATACATTTTGCAAAAGGTAAAGCATGGATCTGAAGATAATGCAGAAAAATGCTCAGAGGATAAGGATAACTTGCCAAAAAGAAAACGCTCTCGGTTAATTAATAGTGTTTTTAGTGATGACGAAGAAAACATTGTTTAATTTATATTAATATGTATCACTTAAAAAAATTTTAATGAAGATATTTATCTTAATTATGAAAATATACTAGCATGTTTTTTAATTTTTGGAACCTAACCCTCCTTTTCGTATTAGTTCTTTGTTTCGTATAACACGGATTCGCATAACACGGCAATTTTTTGGAACGTAACTACCGTGTTATACGGGGGTTACCTGTACCTTCCTCGCGTGGTCAGACTATAAGGCTATATAAGGCTATATATATGCAGACGAGAGAGAAAAACAAGAGAGGAGGGAAACCAATCAAATCAACGTCACGCGTCTATATTAGTAGTTTACTTGTTTTCTCTTTAGTTACGTTCATGAAAAGCGGGTAGGAAAAGTCCACTGAATTTTACAACGAAGAAAAGTTAAAGAAAAATAAACGAAACTACTCTATTAACATTTCCTTCCTTTTATTCATACCCTCCCCATTTTTTTCAGCTTCTCGAGCCATTTTCTTTACGTTCCACAGATTGACAGCGTGCTCCATCCTCTCCTTTTAGTGTCGTTCTTGCGCGGAAGCGAGGTTGGCGAACCACTACGCAATGACGTCAATAAAATGGCGACAATGGAACCCTCCGACAATCTGTCGAATGTGAAGAAAATGGCCCGAAAAACTGCTAAAAACACATGGAGGTCATAAATAAAAGAAAGAAAATGTTAATAGAAGCAATTTCGTTTATTTTTCTTTAATTTTTCTTCGTTGTAAAATTCAGCAGACTTTTACTTCCCACTTTTTCATTAACGCAACTAGAGAATAAACAAAGAAATCACTTTTGTTGGTGTCCTTGGTTTATTTGTTTTAGATTAAAAACCATTCAAGGAAATGGAAATGCTGCAGAATATACTTGCTGTATATAATGCAATTCAAATTTATTCAACTTCGAGAGAACTGGTATGGAGTATTGAATATATTCAATACTTCATACCAGCTGTTATATCTAAAGAACACAAAGAAACATGGAAAATTAGACAGAAATCTGATAAACTTGAATTAGAGGAAATTAAATGTTGAGGCTTTAGAATTTTAATAATCAAAAAATAATTATTTCATTCATTTTTCTCTTTTAAATTTACACTAATTTTTATTTTAGTGTAATTTTGCGCTACTTACTCCATAACTCCTTGTAAGGCTAACAACACCGCCTTTCGTTGCTGCGTAAACGGGGAAGTATGGACAAGGTAATAGCCCTTTTTAGAAAGATAACATAAATATATAAATTAGTCAAAAATTTATTTATTAAACGTGAAACAATAAATAATTACCTGCTATAGAAGCAACATTAACAACAGAACCACCACTTCCTCCATTATGTTTTCCCATATATTTATACGCAATAAAGCAGCCATTTATAACTCCATTCTAAATGTTTTACGAATTATTAATGATAAAGATGCAAAAATATAATTAATATATTATTAGCAAAATATTCAAACCAACCAGGTTAACGTCCACGACTTTTTCTACCCCAACTCCTGCATTATTTATCAAAATATTTACGTTTCCAAATGTTTCTTTAGTTTTCTGGTAAGTGGCTACAGTTCAAACGCATAAAACGAAGGTTAATATTATCATATTTTTACAATTATTTATTGTGTTTTAATTGCTTAATATCTAATTAAATTTTTCTGAAATCAAATCCGAATTGTATCATAAAAACAAACATTTTTAATTTCTTTCAAATACAAACCTTCAAACTCTTCGAATGACGAGACGTCGCATTTCAAGAAAATACAACTTGTTTTCCCGAAAACTTTTTGCAATTCATCCACCGTTTTGTTTCCAATTTCACTGTTTACATCCGAACAACAAACCTAAATTTAAAGAATGAGTGTAAAATTCAATATTCGTCCAATAACTTTACTGGAAATATAAGATTAATTAGAATACCAAATGCACAAACTTCGTAAATTATGAAAATAAATACTCTGAATTAAAATGTAAAATCACAAAAATAAAAAAGTACAACTATTGAGAGTTTCAAGTTTTATTTAAAATAACCATTTCATATATACAACTCCCAAGGAAAAACTTGGGGAGGAAAAACTTTCTTGGGAGGGGCTAATTAGGAAACTAAAGAAAATATCTGGTTCGCACGACTGTCATGTAAAAAATTCTAAGTTCAAATGGGAAAAGTGGGCTATGTTGGGAACAGAGTGCTCCCAATTTGACTCACTTTTTGAAAATTCATGTGATTTATTTATACTCAGTAGCGTACCGTAGTGGGAGCGGCAGGGGTGGCAAAATTTCACAATAAATAATAATAACATCTTGTAAAAATTTGAAACATCCTAATCTATACTTGCATCGCGCCTACGATAGTGCTATCGTCCGGACAGTCCGGGAATCGGCTCGCCGTCCGGGTGAACTAGTAATTTTTTCATATACACCACTAATATCCAATAGAACTATTTTAAACAGGTCGCTGCACTACCACCGAATTTTTCATTGCTTGTTCTGTGACAAAACTGAATTTTTGTCTTTTAAATTGAAATACCTAAATAAGGGGGGGGCGAAATTTTCCTCCTCCCCGGGCGGCTGACACCCACAGTACGCCACTGAACGGCGTTGATGACGTCAAATTATTGGTTTCAACACTCAACACTCGCGTTGAAAATTGGAATGTCCCGTGTTGTATATCACAAATTATAAATTATTTAACATAATTTTAAAATGTTACATTATAAAAAAATATTACCTTACATCCTTTATTGAGTAGCGTTTCACAAATGGCTTTACCTATTCCTTGAGCAGCACCAGTAACCAAAGCTACTCCTTGTTTTATATCCATGTCACCTTAACCTTGCGACTAGATTATACGATTATCGATGCCAAATCTAACATTTATATTAATAGATAATTTAACAATATCAATGTCTTGTGAATAGTCGTAGATAAATTGAGGAATTTGAGTTTATATATTTTTTATTTAAAATGGATTTCAAGAGGAAAAAAGAACGAATAAGTGATATTTTAATAATGAATATCTTACACTGAATTTAACAATTTATTTATTTTGAAAAATTACAAAGTTTAATGTTAAGTCTTCGAACATAAGAATTACATTTACATCTACAATTTACCACTATATCCACCATTTTTAAAATAATGAAATAAATAAATATACGGTGAAACCTCCATTAATGGACACTACCGAATAGCTGACACTTCTATTGAACGGACATTTTTACAATCCCCAGACACTTTAAATAGGACATCTATTATATCTATCCGCTACTTCTAACTAGCGGACACTGTCGTCCATAACCAACCTTAGGTTGGCTTTCCTCTTAGCGCGATTTTCAGACGATTCAATCGCCATTTGTCACTTTGGCGACAGAGTGCTTTTTCTTTAATTAAATTCCTTCCTCCCTGTGGGCACTAAGAGGGCCTCTTTTAGCAAGCCATTATGGATTCGGCTAGGCCCACATATCCGGACGGCTGGATGATGAGGGACAAGGCCCGACATATCCGGACGGACCACCCCCAAGGACGGCAGCTTAGTAGGTACTGCGTACTTCTCTGACGGAGTAGAAGTGTACTCTCGATCAGTCAGATTGAATGAGGAAAGTGTTCCTCATTCCGTATTCCAGGTGGAACTGATGGCCCTGGAGGGGCGTCCCAGTGGATCCTATTACACCCGGGTCCAGAGCCGGTCACGGTTTACTCAGATAGCCAATCGTCGCTACAGGCCTTGAGCGACAGGTACCACCGCGATCTGCTGGTACGGGAGATCAGAGGTAGGGTGCTGAGGGCGAGGCACAAACGACACGTTGCTTTGCGGTGGGTCCGCGGTCACGTCGGGATTCCGGGCAACGAACGTGCCGATCAGCTGGCAAAGGCGGGAGCCAGCGTCCCATTTGTAACGAGGACGGTTGAACCCTCGACCACATACATTAAAGGTACTCTATTGCAAAGATCAGTACTGGCAACAAATGACACACTGGCGTGAGCGCTGGACTCAAAGTACAGTAGGTAGGCCGACCTACGTCTTCGTGTCTGTAGTTGGCCTCACTCCGATAAGTTATTGCTGGCTGCCGACACAAATATTGATCGGACACGGGAGGTTTTTCCACTTCAAGTCCAAATTCGGACAAGGAGATGGTGGTTGCCCCTGTGGGTATCCTCGCAGTGACGTGAGACACTATGTACTTGACTGTCCTCTTACACAGGACTTTCGCCTAGGGGCTGACCAAGTTGACTGGACCAAGCTCCCTGAACAAGTACTTCGAACGCTAGCAGCTAGTAAAAGAAACTTAAAGAGACTAAAGGAATTGATGGAAAAAGTAATAGATCTTTTAGATCTATAAGTTCAAGGGAATGTATTAAGCAGGGCTTCTTAACAGGGAAGGGAGACCCCACCATCCGTTCTTAAGAGCACCTCTCTCTAGTGCAGATTAACTGCACCAAAACGTATGTCAAAGTAAGAGGGTTGGACTCGTGTAGCGATGAAGGCGGGTAAGGCAATGAGGGTTGGTGTCCACTAGGCCACCTGAACCCGAGTCCAAGCACTTATCTCAGGCCCGACTGTCATTGTCTCGGCGCTCGGTGCCCACCGGGCGATGGCCTGACCTATGATTAGAATTCGTCTCTTAGTACTCTGTAATGCCATATGGCGGGGCAGAGGATATTACTTGGAGTTGATCATATGAGGACCACCCCCGTAAATTTCCTGCGGGATTTTTCCATTACGTTCCGATGCGATCCAGTTCCCCTGGAGTGGAAGGCTGTCACTTTTACCGCTCGGCTGTCCGGCCGTCCGGGAGACAGAGTACTTAGATAACGTATACATATATTTTCTCGTAAAGATTCTGTCGCAGTAACCAATCTGTATGTCAAGTGTACAAATCATATTTTCACCCATCGTCCATAGCACTAAAAGCAGCGTAGTGTGGAAATTTCGAAAAGAAGCAAAAGAAGCAAATATTAGAGTTTAAAAAATTAAATATAAAATTAAATTGAAATATATAAAGCTTTTTTAAGTTGAAAATTTTGCCACCATTTAAAATAGTTCCCATAATTCATTGTAAATCGCCTTTCATTTCGCGCAAAGTGTGTAGGCACATAACGCAGTGATTGCTTCGCTCTACGAGAGCCAGCATTACGGAAACGCAGTGTACCGCGTTCAATATTTTGAAACAATTACGTACGAATCGATTTATGGAAAGGTAATTTCATTTACAAACCGATACAGAGAATATAATATAAAATTTTAATGTTATTTTTCGCATATTTTTTTTTTTCTTAGTTACTGATGCCGTGCCACCAGCGGCCGAATGGACGAAATCACTAAGTACGTGGTACGTGCTCACGGGTTTGCGCCTAGCCACGTGGAGTTTTCGGGTTTTCTTTACGTTAGTAACACCTAAGTAGAGGTAGTTTCCCATAAAGAACCATCCGGCAAATCGCCCGTGTATCGCTACCGTATACAAATAAACTAAACTAATGAAATTGATAAAAAATCTGGAGCGGTTCGGGTTTTTACATTTGTAACACCTAAATAAGAGTCAGTATCTCATTGTGTCCTCTCGGGTAACACATTCTTGACACGTATTGCATTGCCTTATCCCATTCAACCAAACCAAACTAAATTATTATTTAATTGCTCTTGCAATAATTGGCAAATTTACAAAAAATATATTTATTATGTCGAATATGACGCTAAATTCAAGTAATAATATAATACTCAATATACTTTTACAATGCCAGTATTTTTACAACTATTTGTTTTTTAAATACAGTATTTGAATTATAACGTATTCCATTGTTCGTATTCATAGAACGAATAAAGTTAATACTTATAATTTGTTTACGTGAATAGTTTATACATTTCGTTGGCTTTAATTAAGAGAAAAATATAATCCAATTATCATCGTGCAGATTTTACCGAAGATTATTTTAATTGCTTCTATTTATTTTGTCATCTCGGCAACGACACAAATCTGTGGATGTTCAGAAAAATTTGTCTTCTCGGCTTACGTCAACGAGTATTACAAATAGGAACAAATATTAGTTAAATACGAAAGCAAAAATGTTACAAACTAATATAATTTCGTCTCGGAGGATACCTCGACCTTTCGCTAAAGAGATTTCGAAAAGAAAATTGAATTACAACGGATGCATCGGTGGGAAATGTACCATTGATAAAAATTGTACCTATTCTTCCAAAACATATCGAGTGGAACTACGTGTAAATTTGGACAAGGGTATGGAATTTATAAATACAAAATACGACTCTGAAGTGACAGCAAGATGTGTTGACAGAAAATTGGGTGGTCTTTACCAAAAAGTATGGTTCGTATCGAAAATTCTTTTCTGATTTTACGTTAATCGTTATTCTTATTTGTGTGGCGTGACTCGGGACAACGATATTACAGTACTATTTATGGATATAAAAACGAAGAATTCGAATGAAGGCGTTTCAAATACAAAGGTTTTCTCAAGATTAATTACAAAAAAAGAATGACGTTTAAAATATTTTGGTAATCGTGAGAAGAATGATTTGGCTTCGAACATTGTTTAGTATTTGAAATGAAAGCGCGATATTACAAAATTTATCGACAATTCGAATAAAACTTTCTTCGTTAATACGAATTGTTTTATTTCTAACTTGAACATTTTACGTATTGAGTTAATATTGCCATTTTCGCTCTAGCGAATTCATAGAAATTGTTTTGTGATATTAATCCGTTTGAAATAACGAATATTGTGAAAACATCATAATACTAGAAATTCCCCGGTCAAGAATGACCGAATACTTTTTATGAAAAAGTAGATTGAAGAATTGAGAAGAGTAGAGAATTCAAGATATTCAAGAACAGATGTTAGTATGAACTACTTAATTTGTAGAAATATTATCTGTTGTAACAAAGAGCAACAAAACAATATTTCATCTGAAATGGACAAAAAAGTAGGAGTTATAGAGATTCACTTACACAGAGATGAAGGCTTTTATATTAGTAAATAGACTCAATAGTGGAATTCGCGTATCCCACAACTAAATAAATACCTGGAGTTCATGTCTTCCGGAGACAAAGACGATTCTAGTAACGATGTGGTCTTTGTAGTTGACGTCACCATTCTAGTAGGTTGATTGCGTATGTTCGCATTAAGTGCGACACAGTACAGAATTTTAAACAATAAATTTGTGAATTTTTCTAAAACGTAGAGTATAAAATTATAAAGAAAGCGTGAAGTTCTAATAAAACACGTGGCTTTGACAAAGATATGTTTTCGTTTTGTTTTGTAAACTTTTTACGGATTGTAATGTCAAAATGTCTCTCGAGTATCGTTCTTCTTAATAAATAGGAATTTTAATAACTCGGAAAAGCGTTAGATACTAATAGACCGAGCGGCGAAAGAGTAGACACGAGTCAGCCTGATCCTAAAGGGTCTATGTCAAATGACAGACGAAAGGAATACAAGGGGACACGTAAGTAACGTTATAATTAAGAGTGAGTAATAAAATTTGTGAAAAAATATAAAACAGTAAAATTATGATAAAAATAGTTTTAAAATGTTTTAGAAATGTAAAAAGAAAACAGCCGAAAGAGATGAGATCTGTGTATTAACTCTGAAGGAATAGTCACATCTCCTTCCACTTCCGGCTCGAACTGACTTGTGTCTACTCTTCCTCTGCGTGGACTATAATTAAGGGGACATTAAATGTTAATATATTAACAGGCGGATTACTTGGAGTAACTGATAGGATTGATTGATTCAGAGAAAGAGAAAGAGAGAAAAAGATGAAAAGCGTTCTATCTCGAAAACTCCCACGATTGAGAACCATGCTACTCGCGCTAACAATCGTATTGG